TCTGAGAGGAGAGGCCTTCACACAACAGGTGCTGACATGCTCTGCTCTCTCCTGGAGCACCCTCAAAACCCTGGGGTGACTGATAGGCCCCAAAGTCCAAGGGTTTGGGCCAAGGGTTAAAAAACACTTTGTATTTCCGAACACTTGGCTATCTTCGATTATCTGCAGTGTTACGGCCTTTGCCAACCGTATCCACCTTACGCCACCCTCGACCAAGAGCAACTGCCAAGGGTCATTCACTCTGCATGCAGCTCCCAGAATGGTGTGGGACTCCACTGGACAAACTGCCGGTCCTGCCCTGGGGCGCCGTGGCCTCCGTTCCTGCATCGCCAGCTTCCTAATTCTCCAAGTCGGGCTCACTGGGAAGGCCCTGGAGTCCAACCGGACACTGGAGAACCATACATCGGAATAAAGCAGACAACATGGACAACGCTGCCTGGAAGCCTGGCCTGGCCACCCCCTAGCTCTCCATCCTGACAACCACGCTGCCAAGTGTCTTCCTTTTTCTGAGAACTTGGAAGTGCCCAGATTTCTTGGTCTTTCATAGCCTTGGCGGTGGCTGCCTCCCCGCACACCAGTGAGACACAGGTCCCTTTCTCCTGTTCACTGCCCTGGCTGCCGCTGTGGCCCCAGCAGACCCCCTCCTGCTGATCCCAGGCACAGAGGTTCCCATGGCCTCCGTTCTTGGCCCTGCACTGTCGTTGGCTCTGGGCCAGGGACAGGCTCCGTCTGGGAGGCAGGGGCAGTGAGAAGGTGCCATTGTTGTCCAGGACAGCAGAGGGACGGACACTAGACAGCCATTCAGTGTGTGTCAAGACTCTGCCTGCCCCCGACAGAGGCAGCTGTGCCTGGAGCCTCTGCCTTCGCCCCAGCCTGGCGTAGAAGGAGGTGGCCATTTCTCTTTGAAGATCCCTTGTCCCATGGAAATGCTGAGACCTAGGAGGGGCGACCATCTACGAACTGGCCGGGGTGATCTCTGCAGCAGAAAGGGAATGAGCTAATCCATTCAGCAAGACAAATCTAAACTGGGAAAACGGTGAGAAAATTAGGGAGCTGAAAGACCAAAAGGCCAGGGAAGAGCTTGCACAAGAGAGAAGACAGGGCAGTCTAGTAATTTCCTTGGACGTAGTGTGTGTGCGTGTGCACGTGTGTGTGCGCGTGCATGCATGCGTGTACATGTGCATGTTTCAGGGAGCTTGAGCTGCTGAATATCAGAAATAAGGCCTGACAGTAGATGAGGAGTGGCCTCATCTCTGATGGAGCCTTGGGGTCTGAGTGTCCCGTTTCAGAGAGGCCTTCTCACCAGTTACGGTTCATGGATTTATTTCCTTTTTTTTTTTTTTAAACATTTTTGCCAATGGCCTCACCAAAGACTGGGAGCAGTCACAAGTGGGAAACGGGGCCAAAGGGAGGGGTGGGAGTGTGGGTCCCGGGGCCCCACCGACACCCCCTGCTGTAAGGAGGCCCTAGGTTTGGGCTACTCCTCCCTCCCTCCCTCCCGCCCAGAAACTGAACCCATCCAAGGATAAGCGTCCCTGAGAATCAATGAGGGTTGGGGGAAAGGGAATGAGACTGGGGGTGGGGGCCTCTGTCCGGTGGCTCCTTGGCAGGGACCTGCTGAGAAGCAGGCTTGCTTTTCTCTCCCCTGCTCCCTCATCCCTTCCCTGTAAGCTGCCTCTGAACTCACCACCCACCCCAGCTTTTGCAGTTGGGAGTTGGTGGCAGTGGCGGGGGGGGGGGGCG